ACGACTCTCTCTCTCTCTCTCTCTCTCTCCTCCCTCCCTCCCTCCCTCCCTCCCTCCCTCCTCTCTCTCTCTCTCTCTCTCTCTCTCTCTCTATTGCCCACACACTCTCTCCCACTCACGCACACACTCTCTCTCTAAATCCTTTCTTTCATACTCTTTTTTCTAGCTATCTTAAAAATTGCCTCACATTTTAATTGTTTCTGCTTGCAGGCCTATATTGAAGCTGCTGAAGCTATGCTTGTTGATGATGTTAGATCAAACAAAGCAATTGGAAAGCATGGAGCCGACTTTATTATGAACCAGCACAAAGATTCTAAAAAGCTTTCAATCTTAACACATTGCAACACTGGAAGGTACCTTTTGGTTTATTCTTTGAGGCTTGATGTTTATTCAAGTACCTTTACAGAAAAAGTTCGTTCTAGTGTTTGTTTGTACAGTCAAAAAGAAAAAATTTGTTACCCATTTATGACTGTATCTTGTCAACAGTCTTGCCACAGCTGGATATGGTACTGCTCTTGGTGTTATCCGCGCACTTCATGCCGAAGGGGTCTTAGAAACAGCATTTTTCACAGAAACTCGGCCAGTTAACCAGGTAAGTCATCTCTCTCTTGCACTCCTTCTATTAGTTGCTACATCATTTTTTCTCATTTGCCTCCTTTTAGTGTTTTCTAATCCGTCCTCTCCAAAATTTTGGTAAATAGTGTGTGCATTTGTGGTGTACCTGGGAACGAAATCACTGCCTTATGGCTGACCAGGTGGGGGTGGGGGGTGGGAGATTTCTTCAACTATTACATGAACACATGCTTCTTTTGTTACAGATATATATCATGGTTATTGGTTGGTGGTACTAGGAGTCATTGTTGTACTATGTAGAGTTGTGGCTGACCCCAGGAATTATGGTTCACTTGCGTGTGAAAAATGTTGTATGTGTGAGGCGAGTCTCCATCATACCTTGGAGAATCGATCCTGCTCAATCCTACTTGAGCGGTCACCATCAGGAATTGCGTGTAGCAGTCTGTGTGAGTTCATGTATTGATTTAATTATTGATTCAACCATCCTAGCTGGATTGCTGCTTCAAGTGCCGAGGCAAGAGGATTAGTTTCTTCTTTATTTTTCCTCTATCCTTCTTGTTCTTTCAGCTTGCTGAAAGAAAGGGTTGCTCATTCTTTCAATTTGCCAAAGGAAGTTTGTGCATTCATCATAGTTGTGTTAATAAAGAGCCTAACCGAACATAGACAAGCTAAGCATGGCGGCTTCCAATAGCATGCTGTTGACAAACATTACATTCGATTAGTTGGAGAAATATAAATTTACGAAAGCTAGGCATAGACTGGGGTACATCCTGCCTGTTCATATCTCAAAACTCAAAGGGATATACATGATCAAAATTTTCTTTTTATCTTCCAACCAAATTCTTTCTCAATATTCCATTTTGATTAACGAATTCTTACAAGAACTATGGATCTTAGAATGAGGAAGACCCTTATTTTTTATTTTCTTTTTATTTACTTCCCTCTTTACCTGCTAACCAAATCTTACTTCTGCCGGGTGATCCACATATCATGTATTTCTTGTTTTATACGTTTTATACTATAGTATGGTTCAAGCATGAAAGTGGAGTCTACCCTTCCTGTTCCAGATCCAAGTAATTTACAATAGAACTCCTTGGATTATTTGCTAGTCACTCAATCAATTCCTTCTTCAATCTTCATAATGATAAAAAAAAGTGTTGGTTTTCTTTTTTATATGCCCACACTATTCCTACATTTTTATAAACAAATTGTTCTATACATGAATTACTTGAAATTTTTAATTCTGATACCAAGTGTTGTGAGAGCAATTTGGATTGCACTCGTGTAAATTGGGCATGTCTTGTTCAAATTTCACTCATGGGTCGATCCCTATATTTCGATTCAGTATAGTATTTCTTTTCCTTGGTGCTGATTTATTCACCTAATAGATTGTTAAACTAGTTTTGATGTTCTTCATGCAAGGCAAAAACTTTGACTGAGTTTGTTTCCCTTTCTGAAACACTCAGGGATCGAGGTTAACAGCTTATGAACTGGTCCATGATAAGATACCTGCTACTCTCATAACAGATTCTGCTGCGGCTGCACTAATGAAAGCTGGACGTGTGGATGCAGTCATAGTTGGTGCTGATAGAATTGCAGCAAATGGTGAGAGAGCTAGAGGAAGAGAGTCTTGGAACATATTTATTCTGGTTTTAAATCCCATCTTTATGGTAGAGAGAGAGAGAGAGAGAGAGAGAGATTTGGGTACTTGTTCTAGTTTTGAATTCCATCCTCTAAAGTGGTGGTATTTAATTACTTATTAACCTTTTTTTTTGTCTCGGAGTTCTTAAGAAGATAGGATCTGACTGATGTCTGTGTTTTTCCTTCTTAGGTGACACTGCTAATAAGATTGGAACTTACAGCCATGCCATCTCGGCATCATATCATGGAGTGCCATTTTATGTGGCTGCACCTTTTACATCTATTGATCTCTCTCTAACCTCTGGAGACCAGATCACTATTGAGGAGAGATCAGCAAAGGAGTTGACTCATGCTCGTGGAGGGCAAGGGGAACAAGTAGTTGTCAATGGCATTTCTGCATGGAACCCAGCTTTTGATGTTACACCTGCTAGTCTGATAACAGCCATCATCACAGAGAAGGTCTCTCTCTCTCTCTC